AAGGCATCATCGACAAGATTTCCAATATAATCATTGGCGCCGATTCAGATCCCTTCTCCAGTTTCTACCTGCCAGGTGATTACAAGTGGCCTTTGGGCATCTTGATCTCAGTAGGGTTAATACTGTATCTTTGTGGCCTGCTGTGCAATGTGTGTGTGTGGAGACCAGCGGTGAAATCCTCTGAAGTCTGCTACCGGTTTTGTGTCTGCTACCCAGCGCAAGCTTTGAGTGCATGTGTGCCTGAGGCACCCGCACAGCGCTAAAAAAGGAACATTTTGAAGCCTTCCGAGTCTGCAAAGATAAGTAGAACAGTGAGGGGAGGGGGGATCCGCTGTGCCACGCGATTTAGATTAGTTAGAAAGCAGGAAATCCCAAGAGATGAGACGGTGCTCATCTCCGTTTCAAAGCTGAAGAGCCAGCGCTCTGCGAAGATGTCTCCATGGTCATGTGGCCGGCATGACTCAACGCCAAAGGCGCACGGAACGCTGTTCCCTTCCTATCAAAGGTGGTCCCTATTTTTCTACTTGCATTTTTTTTACATGCTTTCGAACTGCTAGGTTGGCAGAAGCTGGGACAAGTAACAGGAGCTCACTCCGTTACGCGGCATTAGGGATTCGAACTGCTGAACTGCCGACCTTTCGATCGACAAGCTCAGCGTCTTAGTCACTGAGTCACTCCGTCCCCCTATACTCTTTATAAGTAAGAAGGGGGAAAAGATACGGACCAAAGCAGCCGTACCATTGAGGTTCAGGGGGCACTCCTCTCCTTGCTCTGTTGACATGGGGCTATCTTGGCAGGTTTCATTAAGTTTTTCGGCAACCTGGCGATTGTGGACAGCCCTCAGCAGATTTGCGAGCAGTATCCCGCTTTCGTAGAGAAGGTCTTCAGCATGGCCGAAGTCCAGGACCCCACCTTGTTTGGCGTGGCGGTGGACACGCTCGCAATCTTGGGCTCAAATGTGGAGGGCAAGCTGGTGCTCCAGAAGACAGGTTCGTCCAGTGTTTACGTGTAAAAGTACAACTCCGGTTACCGGGCTAGAGGGGTGAGTGGGGAGATGCTTTACGGGCCCAGCCAAAAACAAGAGTTCGCTTTGGTTTTCAGGAAGTCGGTTCCATCGTGTGCTAAACAGAATCGGGCACCAAATAAAGAATTCCCCGACGGAGATGCGAATCCGATGTCTGGATGCTGTTTCATCTCTTTTGTTCTTGCAAGTAAGTTACGGGCAATCAGCTTGCTTCCCTGGCCACTTATGTAGCCCCTCACTCTCTCTCCCACCATTTTTTTTTTCTTTCACTGTGAGTTGTATTGTGTTGTGGGGGTGTGTACAGTGATGAAATACCGACAACTTCTGAAGGCAACTTCTGTTCCGCTGGTTAATTGTCCTCACTGTCAGGAAGTTTCTCCTTAATTCCACATTGCTTCTCTCCTTGATTACCGTATTTTTCGGAGTATAAGACGTACCTTTTTCCCAGAAAAAAGGGAGGGTGAAAATCTGGTTGCGTCTTATACTCCGAATGTAGCCCCACCCAGCTTCTCAAACAGAGGTTTCAGAAGCTGAAAAAAGCATCAGAAACGAAGCTTCAGAAAAGAAGCCCCCAAACAAAGATTCAGAAAAAAAGCCTCCAAACAGAGCTTCAGAAAAAAGCCTCCAAACAGAGCTTTAGAGGCTTTTTTTCTGAAGTTCTGTTTCGGAGGCTTTCAGAGACAGGAAAAAGTTTTTTAGTTTCAGAAGTTTCAGAGGCAGAAAAAAAAAAAAGCAAGGCACAGAGCTTACAACCAAGGAACCTGTTGCTAAAATTCACCTCTGGGAACAGCTGATTGGGGGTATTCCGGGAGGCCGATCCGCCTGCCAATCAGCTTTTTTCTTATTTCCCTCCCCAAAAACTAAGGTGCGTCTTATACTCCGAAAATTACAGTAGTTTCCATCCGTTGTTTCTTGTCTTGCCTTCTGGTGCTTTGGAAAAATAAGTTGACCCCCCCTCTTACTTTGTGGCAGCCCCTCAAATACTGGAAGACTGCTATCATGTCTCCCCTAGTCCTTCTTCTCTCTAGAGCAGGGGTGGGCAACTGTGGCCCTTTTACAACCTGTGGACTTCAACTCCCAGAATTCCTGAGCCAGTCCACAGGTTGTAAAAGGGCCACAGTTGCCCACCCCTCCTCCAGACTAGCTGAACCCAAATCCTGCAACTGTTCTTCCTATGTTTTAGTCTCCGGGCCTTTCATCATCTTAGTTGCTCTTCTCTGAACTTTTTCCCCAAAGTCTCAACATCTTTTCTTTTTTTTTTCAGTGACCAAAACTGGATGCACTATTCCAGGTGTGGCCTTAACCAAGGCTTTATAAAGCGGCACTAACACTTCACGTGATTTTTTTTTTTTTTAATTTGATTTATATGCCGCCCTTCTCCGGAGACTCAGGGCGGCTTACAATGCGCTAAGCAATAGCCTTCATCCTTTTTTGTATATTTATACAAAGTCAGCTCATTGCCCCCACAATTGGGTCCTCAATTTAACCTACCTTAGAAAGGATGGAAGGCTGAGTCAACCTTGAGCCTGGCGAGATTCGAACCTGCAGTAATTGCAGGCAGCTGGTCTTAATAACAGGGTGCACTAAACCACTGTACTATCAAGGCTTTTGATTTTGATAACAACCCAGGATTGTTTTGAAACTTTCAGGGGAAAAAAAAAAAGCCATTTGCAAACTCACCCGCTACTCTCTTGCATACAGCTTGAGCAGCAAACCGAAGACCTCCTCCGGATGACCGAAGCGTGGTTCTCCTCTCTATCCAACCAGCCCTTGGAGCTGTTCAAAAGCATCAGCGCTCAACCTTTCCCTGATCTCCACTGTGGAGCCTTGAGAGTTTTCACGGTAAGATTCTTTTTTTACAGCTTTTACAGTGAGTTAAATAGATTCGACTTGACAACGGTTTTTAAATGGAGGTCAAACCCATTTAACCAAATCTGCCTTGTCCCCCTAGGCCATTGCAAATCAACCTTGGGCTCAGCAGGAGATGCTGGCGAGTCCTGGCTTTGTAGAATACATCGTGGATAGATCAGTGGAACCGGATAAAGCTTCGAAGGAGGCCAAGTACGAACTTGTCAAGGCTTTGGTTAACTCCAAGACGGCTGCAGAAATCTTTGGAAATCAGCATTACTTGAGACTGAAGGCTTATATGCGCGAGGGGCCGTATTACGTTAAGGCTATCTCAACTATCGCTGTGGAAGGCGCCGAGTAACTTTGGATGACGTAATTTTAAGCTAATTCCAGGGTTAACTAAACGTTTTGGATTTCTGGAAGGTGGGGGCCGGCCTGTTGATTTGTAGGGAGGGCAAAGAAAGTGTGGATAACATTTAACTCGGTATGAGTTTTCTTATTTTTCCGATGTTGAAATGGAGGAAGTTGGTTTGAAATATGGAGATTTTTAAGGTATTTTCCTGATGGAAAACACAGGCTCTTACCATTTCATGCTACTTAAAATCCAAAAGAATAAATTGTTACTAGGAAAGGAGACTCTTAAAATATTTTTTAAAAAACAGTTTCCCCAGGATAATGTTGCAGGATCCTGGGAGGCACATATATTCATCTTCATTTGTGATTTTTTGGGTTGATCACACCGCTTTTACCATCTGACTGATTTTTCATCACATCTGCAGTGTTGTTTTTCTGACGTTCCAATGGGCATGACACAAAAAATTTCTCCACACAACTTTACGTAGGGAACAAATACGTGGATTTAATCCAGGATCTTCAAAGCAAGTGAGATGGAAGAATGAAGAATATATCTTACATAAAAGGCCAAACAAATCACCATTTTACAAAAATAAATAAATAAATAAATAAAAGGTGCTTATTTACCCCCTTCTCTCAGCCTCTGTCTGTCCATCCTCCAGCTCTTAATCTCAACCCCAGAAAAGTATAAATTTATGCTGCCTGACTTCTCGGAGACTAATCCCCACAATCTCCTCCAAAAGAAAAGACATCTTCTAATGCCTTCGAGAGTTAATAAATGTATGTACACGCAAGACATTTCTTCCTCGATTCAGTTCGGACGTAGCACTCTCACTTTTCCTACACACTCGTCTCTAAACAGGGTACAATTTGAAACAGTTCGCATCGAAATGCGATTCAACATGAAGGACCAGAGTCCAATATGCATAATCCAGCTCAACTTTATAGGTGTTAAATGCATTGGTGGCTTTTAATACTTGACTAATTTAGGAAGCGACAAAATAACTTCCCCACCATAGATGAATCTGTGGTTGTTGTAAGGTTTTCAGTAGTTTTTCCCTGCCTGCCAAATATTTGTTTTTCTGGCGTTCTGCTTTGGATTTGATTGTAAAATACAGTCTTGAATGAAAGAAAGTGGGATTGTTGTTATTTGCAATCTGATTTCCGACCCCGTTTTGCTCGAATATACTGCCTTTGGTGTATATGTTGGCTCCGAAATACTGCGACTTCCTTTTGTTGTAGAAACATGTAGAATTAGCCTTTTAAAAGGGAAAAAAAAAAAAATTAAATGCATGCAAAAAGTCTTCAGCATCTGGTCTGAATGTTGGGCTGCTTGTTACATCAGCTGCTTAAAATACAGGTAGTCCTCGCCTTCCGACCACAATTTTGCGACCTTCCGACCAGCAAAGTCAACGGGGAAACTAGATTCATTTAACAACCGCGTCACTAATTGAAGAACTGCCGTGATTCGCTCAACAAAGGCGACGAGAAACATGGTAAAAATGGGGCAAAACTCACTTGACAAATTTCTCACTTAGCAGCATAAAATTTGGGCTTCAATTGTGGTAAGCCGAGGACAATTTTGGGCTTCAATTGTGGTAAGCCGAGGACAACTTTTACACACGCAAAGCCACAGAATGATGATCAATCGTCACAATACCAATATGTAAGATTGGGTGTAATGAGACAGTCAAACGGAGATACTATTATATTTGATTCTTCTAATCGGAAAAATACAGGGGCTCTTTCTGAACGGCGTTGATGTTGGAATCTTTCAACCCTCCAGATACGTCATGATTTTGCAGGACACCAGTCCATAATAGGTTTCCAGTAAGGTGCAATCTTCATCGCCTTTCATTTCCTCCCATTCTTGGAGAAGCTGGCTTGTCTCTGACACCGTCGAAGTGAAAATATATTTATAGCAGCATCGGTTGTACCAGATACGTCTCTCCCCAGAAAACCGGGAGCTGTGGATAGGCACCACACCGGCTGCCCTTGCACAGACGCCCACAAAAACGCCAGGGGGTAGGGAAGGAGGAACTTCTCTAGAAGTTACGTAGATCTTCCGAGCAACATCTTGTGAGATGACCAAGGCCGTGACACTGCAGTAGTCTGGATAATACTGTCCAGGATGTTTTCTTACGGAGGTAAAACTGCCGTTGCGGAATTCTTCGTTGGGGATGCTCGGATGAATCACCCTTCCAAGATAGATGTCTTCAGGATGAGTTCTCAAGTTGAGCAAATATTCAACCAAGGTTTGGAGGTTGGCAAACATATCCTCGTCTACTTTGAGAATGAACCTGGCCTCGGGGCAAAAAGTTACGGTCCACTCGATGGCCCTCTTGATCTTCAGTGTCTGATTCTCAGGGGTATCAAGAAAGATTCCTTGGATGAGATCCTGCTGTTGGTCTGATTCTTTGATGACCTCCACTTGGGCGGTAGCTGAAGACGGCTTGCCCAACACAAACAAAACCAGTGTGGCGTAACCTTGGATGTGGGTCACGTTGGCCCATGTTTTCCGAATTGCGTCGCGCCTGGACAGGTTTTGGGGGCTACTGAAGATGAGAACCAACAGGAAGATCTCTCGGTTGGAGCAGGCTTCCGAGTCGCTAATAACATAACCCTGGGAGATGTTGGTCTTCATGGAGGACATGTCCAGGATCCGGGCTCTTTCCCGAGCTCGGAGGACTTTAGTATCCATGTAAGTGGTGGGGATGGCTTGTAAGAAATATTCTTCCATGAGATCGGCTCCAAAGAGCAAAATGTGGAAAAGGGCCACGTTGAAGAGTATAAAACACCACTGGTGAGTTCGGAGCCTACAGAAAATCAGCTGTTGAAATGGAGAGGAATAAGAATTAGTGCTCGTTTCCTTCGACATTTGTGCTTTTCGGTTCTTGCTGTGGAGTCAGAAATATTGAGGAGAGGAGAGAAAAGAGGGGAGGAGGAAAGGAGAAGAGAAAATATTTGTAGCTCAGGGCTGAACTGTGGGCTCCTTGGTGCTCTCTGAGCTTGGTGGTTTCGTTGCAGATATTTCATTACCCAACTAGGTGTGTCATCATCGGTTACGTAGCACTGATGATGTTACCTAGTTGGGTAACTAAACGTCTGCAAGAAAACCAAGCTCAGAGAGCACTAAGGACTCCACAGTCTTCCTTCTCCTTCTCCTCCTCCTTCTCCTTCTCCTTCTTCTCCCTCTCCTCCTCCTCCTTCTTCTCCTCCTCCTCCTCCTCCTTCTCCTTCTTCTTCTCCTTCTCCTCCTTCTCCCTCTCCTCCTCCTCCTTCTCCTTCTCCTTCTCCCTCTCCCTCTCCTCCTCCTCCTTCTCCTTCTCCTTCTCCCTCTCCCTCTCCCTCTCCTCCTCCTTCTCCTTCTCCTTCTTCTCCTTCTCCCTCTCCTTCTCCTCCTCCTCCTCCTTCTCCTTCTCCTTTTCCCTCTCCTTCTCCTCCACTCCCTTCTAGCACTGATGATGTCCCTAGTTGGGAAAGAAAACATCTGCAAGAAAACCTTCAAGCTCAGAGAGCACCAAGGAGCCTACAATCAGAAATATTCATGATAATGTGCTTAGATTAAATGTAGATTTATTTGGCTTTGCGCAGTATCTATATAATGCATTTAGAGAAGAGAGACAAGCATGCAGAGACCTGGGTATATAAAAGAATTGGAATACATTCCCACACTTCATTCTAGTTCTCTGTTAATATAGACTATCATGAATTAAAACCATTTAATTGGATTGTGGTTTTTTTTTAAAAAAAAAAACATGCATATTTAAAAAAACCACCCTTGGAGGCTTCTTGCCTGTAACTGAATCAAGTGCTTTTTTTTTAAGGTCTCAAATTTAACCCTGGCTGCAGTAGATCAGGCTGAAATAAAGAGCAGCCAGCCAGAGAAAATCTGAATTAGGAAATTTTATTTCCCATTTCTGCCTTGCAACTAAGCATGTGTGCTAAAAACCACAAATGTCAAATGGCCTCTTGAATATTAGCAAAATGCACAGCCGGGGGTGGGGGTGGGGGAAGCATTTGATTTTTAAGTAGGATTTATCTCCTCGTTTCAATATTGTCCCAATAGCATTAAGAGATGCTCAGAACTTACCCGCATGGTCTTTACGGAGACGATGTTGGAATTTTTCGAGTCGGGAGGTGGTGTGTGTAGAGCTTTGGGGAATGTTTTTGCAATTGGAGTAGCATTTCATGTAGAAAAGCACACCCAGATAGAGTTTCTCTTGTGTCAGTCACCAAGTACAGCATTCTTTTTAAATTGTTTTTTTTTTTTCCATCCTCTTTTTGAATCCGAGCAAAGGCAGTGTAATACCAGAGGATGGTGATCATGTTACGTGTTGGCATAGGATTCTTAATTTCTGAGTGGACCACAACAGAGGCTGTAGATCAGCACTCTTGAACAAAGGCAGGTGTGTGTGTGAGAGAGAGAGAGAGAGGGAGAGAGGAGAAAAGAGAGGGAGGAGAGAAAAGAAAAGAGAGAAGAGACAGGCGAGAGAAGAGAGGGGAAGAGAGAGAAGAGAGGGAGGAGAGAAGAGAGAGGAGAGGTGTGCGCACTCGCTTTGGGCACTTGGCACCAGAAAGGTTAACCATCACTGCTCTAGGGTTTAGTTTTTGCAAGATCTCAGTCCCGAGTGCCATTTTTGAAAAGAGGCGAGCGATTCAATTAGGAGATATATATATATATATAATAAAGAGAAGATTGTGGTTTCCGTGAACACCAGCATCTGTTTATAGAACGTTTTGACACTTCTGAGTGTTGTGTGATGAGACACCTTGAAATGAGAACCCAAATGGAAATATTAACTGGCTAGGACTTCCTTTTCCAACCCTAACCCTACCCCGTCAAACGTCTGCATTACCCAGGTAGTTCTCGACTTACAACCTCCTTTGACCCCAAAACGTCTGCTGCGAAGCGAGACATCTGCTGAGTCCGGTTTGCCCCATTTTACGACCGTTCTTTTCACAGTTGTCAAGCGAATCACTACAGTTCTTAAATTAGTACCATGGTGGTTAAGTGAATCTGGCTTCCTCGTTGACTTTAATGCTTGTCAGAAGGTCACAGGAAGGGATCAGATGACCTTGGGACACTGCAGCCGTCATAAATGTGAGCAACTGAATTTTGGGGACCTTATCATGGGGATGCTGCCTGCCTGCCTGCCTGCCTCCTGCCTATCTATCTATCTATCTATCTATCTATCTATCTATCTATCATCTATCTATCTATCTATCTATCTATCTATCTATCTATCTATCATCTCTCTCTCTCTCTCTCATTTATCTATCTATCTATCTATCTATCTATCTATCTATCTATCTATCATCTCTCTCTCTCCTATCTATCTGTCTATCTATCTATCTATCTATCTATCATCTCTCTCTCTCCTATCTATCTATCTATATCATCAATCCATCCATCCATCCATCCATCCATGGAATGGAACGGACGGAACAGAACAACAACAGAACAGAACAGAACAACAGAATTCTTTATTGACCAAAGTATAATTGGACACACAAAGAATTTGTCTTCGGTGCATAAACTCTCAGTGTACATAAAGTTATAAGTGATAAATCACGATCATAGTCATCATAAAAATACCATTTTTATATATACATAAATACATACATGTGTGTGTATTATATATGTACAAAAATACATATATACATACCCACTAATATATATATAAAACACTAATATATATATTTAACATATTATTCTATTATAAATAACACATTATTCTACTACAAATAAACCATGTTTATTTATAAAGCCTGCGGGGACCAAGATGGCCACATTCCTGGCTCAGCACAGGGGGATCCGTTGCCTGGCCAAGCACGCCAGCTTCGCCTGGCATGTGGGAGAGAGATCTCTTTCCACAGGTGCAGAGCGCGGCTCGGCACACGCAGACCTCTCGGCTTCTCCACAGCTGCTCGTGCGCGTCTTTGACGGTTTCCATTCTCTTTGGGGAGGGGGCTCGGCTGGAGCAAGGCTCAGAGGCCCCGAGACTGAAAAGCGTTTGGAGGGGCACGTGACCTGGATTTTTTTTTTTAAAAAAAAAAAACAATTTGTTAACTAACCAAGTTCCTTTGTATTTTAATTTGACTTTCTTTTCTCTCTTTTCAAATCACGTTTGGGCTCCTGACAAACTGGAATGACGGAATAGCCTTTTAACATTCCTAAATTGAAAAGATAAAACTGGCTGGAGATAAGAAAGAAAAAGGAACTAAGATAACCGATAAGTATCTTATAAGATGATAGGATAAGATGATAAGATGTCTGAACTGAATCAAAGAAGAAATCTATCTATCTATCTATCTATCTATCTATCTATCTATCTATTTATCACTATTATCTATTCTCTGTATCATCTATCACTATATCTATTCTCTATTACTATCTCTATTATCTATCTATTTTTTCTATCACTATATATATCTATCCTCTATCACTATCTATTATCTATTCTCTATCATCTATCATTTATCACTATCTCTCCATCTCTCTATTATCTCTCTATTCTCTATCATCTATCATTATCACTATCCATCTCTCTATTATCTTTCTATTATCTCTATCTATCTATCTATCTATCTATCTATCACTATTATCTATTCTCTCTATCATCTATCACTATATCTATTCTCTATTACTATATTATCTATCTATTCTCTCTATCACTATATATATCTATCCTCTATCACTATCTATTATCTATTCTCTATCATCATTTATCACTTTCTCTCCATCTCTCTATTATCTCTCTATTCTCTATCATCTATCATCTATCATTATCACTATCCATCTCTCTATTATCTCTCTATTCTCTCTCTCTCTCTCTCTCTCTATCTATCTATCTATCTATCTATCACTATTATCTATTCTCTCTATCATCTATCACTATATCTATTCTCTATTACTATCTCTATTATCTATTCTCTCTATCACTATCTATTATCTATCCTCTATCACTATCTATTATCTATTCTCTATCATTTATCACTATCTCTCCCTCTCTCTATTATCTATTCTCTATCATCTATCATTATCACTATCCATCTCTCTGTCTCTCTCTCTCTCTCTCTCTCTCTATCTCTCTATCATCTATCTATCTATCTATCTATCTATCTATCTATCTATCTATCTATCTATCCATCTACTTACCAGATAAGAAAAAGTTTGTTAGTACAAATTAGGGTCTGGTTTATCTCTCTCGTGAACGCTAAACAACCTTTCACCTTACAATTTACGGCCCTGCTGACGTCGGACCTCATTCTAATCAACATGGGTGACATTATGGGATGCAAATATGTAACATGTTTGAATACATGCAAAATTCAGAATAACACGGTTGGAAGGGACCTTGTAGGCCTGACGAGGTGGCTCAGTGGCCAAGACAACTGAGCTTGTCGCTCAGAAAGGTTGGCAGTTTGGCGGTTTGAATCTCTAGTACAGGTCTCCTGCGTGGGCAGGGGGTTGGACTAGATGACCTCCAAGGTCCCTTCCAACTCCGTTACTATTACTGTTCCTCTCACAAGCCCTTGAAGAACGAATGGAGAAAGCAATCCCAAGCTTGATATTCAATATCAAGACCGAATTGCTATATTAAAGAATAACATAAACACAGCTAGAACCGATACAGATTTTCTTTTTCTTATATTATTTTTTTTCATAAACAAAAAATCAATCATATATATATATATATCCTCCCCTCCCTTTCCCCCTCCTATACACTGATAATGTTACCTAGTTTGGGTCATGAAACAAGCTCAGAGAGCACCAAGGAGCCCTCATGTATTTAATCTTCTCCTCTTTTCTCCTTTCTTTCCCTTCTCCCTTCCCTTTTCTCTCCTTTCCATCCTTCCTTCCACAGATGTCTTCAGGGGGTCCAAAAAGTCAAACCACAATCCTGTGATAGCTCCCCCCCTCCATCCTCTTTTCGACATCCATTGGAACAGAAGCAGTTGGAGCCAATCCATCCATCCATCCATCCATCCATCCATCCATCCATCTTGAACTTAATTGCCCCACCGATGTCATGAATTGCCCTGGAGCCAAAGACCTGCAAACCCAAGCAATCCAGATGACCTCAAGAGTGCCTCATGAGCCCAGCTTCCCACTTCTGAGCTGGAATAAGATCCCTTCGGCATCTGGTTACACCAACTCTCTCTTTGGAGAAGAACAATGGATTCATGAGAATTCCCCCTTGGCGTGTGACTCAGTAAAAGAGATGCTTGCTGTTTCTATTTTTGGCTCCGGAGTTTGCATATAAGCTTGGGACTCTGCATCCTGAGTCAAGGACAGCTTGTCCGGAGCATCCCTAAGACGACAGGATGGGTGTATACGAAGACAGAGGGTAAGCGAACTCACTTTGCACGCTGGAAAAACTAATCTGACCCCTAATCTGAGTAATAATCCGTGCTATTCTTCCTTTCTTAGAGTAATTTCCCTTCAAGGCAGATTTGATCAGACAGCCCTTCCAAGAAAGGACTAAAATTAGCCAAGCAGGGACCCATGGACGCCCATTCCTTTGGGCATGATCAAAACTCCTTTTAGATCTTTTTTAAAATAGTTCTCTGCTGGTTGTTTACTCTTGAGTCAAAGAGTCTAGGGAACGAGTGGAATCGAGCATCGACGGATGCTTCTAAAATTTCCCTGCTTCTGTTTTGATTCTGGCATCAAATTCCCTTTGCAGGGGCAAAATTTTACAGCTCAGAAGGTCACATTTAGCTTTCCTTTGGAAGATTTCTTACAGAAGGGCGATAATCACATTTTTAAAAATAATGTTAATGGTGATTCAATCGTGGGTTTCTGCAGGGAGCAGATCGAACCAAAAAGGAAGCTGGTTAGTTGGAGAGCCAAGCATACGTCGTCCAACAGTGGCCGTCCCTTAGAGATGCTTTATGCAAGTAAGTTTATTGGCTTTTTCTATATTTCTTTGCAGTAGAAGCCGACAATGTTCTCTTTTCATGGGGTGGAGAAACCCATCCAGGAGAGTTTAGAACAAGGTTTTGATTGTTGTTTTATTGTTGTTTTTTTTACAAAAGACTAAACCTTTAAAGCAGGGGTGAAATCCAGCAGGTTCTGACAGGCTCTGGAGAACCAGTAATGGAAATTTTGAGTAGTTCAGAGAACCGGTAGCGGAAATTTTGAATAAGTTCGGAGAACTGGCAAATACCACCTCTGGTGGTCCCAGAGTGGGGTGGGAATGGAGATTTTGCAATATCCTTCCCCTGGAGTGGGGAGGGAATGGGGATTTTGCAGTATCCTTCCCCTGGAGTGGGGTGGGAATGGAGATTTTGCAATATCCTTCCCCCAGGAGTGGGGAGGGAATGGGGATTTTGCAGTATCCTTCCCCTGCCACTCCCATAAGCCACATCCACCAAGCCACACCATGCCCACCAAGCCACGTCCACAGAACCGGTAGTAAAAAAAAAATTGAATTTCACCACTGCTTTAAAGGATTTATTTTTCATACTTCATCCAAACAGCTTGCAGATTAATAATATTTTTTTTTTTAAAAAGAGCTGGTTCGTATTATCACATGTGGTAGACATGCCCAAGAGCGTGAAAATACTGGATAAAAATACACACATGGCTGGAAAAAAATGATAAAACTACATACAGATCTGAAACCAGAGATGTTTTTGCTGGGCATTCTACCAGAAAAAATATGATAAAAAGACAGCATATTTGATTTTTCATATATTAACGGCAGCCAGAATTGTATTTGTGCAACAATGGAAAGATGAGATTGTGCAGAAATGGATAGGTTAACACTTGCTATTAAGGATAAAGAAGAAAATGAATATTTTTTTGATATGGGATACATTTTATCAATGGCTAGATAATAGAAACAGTAATTAGAAACGAAGAGATATAAAGGGAGGAAATGGGACAGAGGAGAATCGTTAAAGAAGACAATGTTAAATGTTAAGTATTAAGGTTATTATGTTGTTATATGATTAATATGAGGGTGATGACTAAATATAATGAAGATATATAAATATGATTATCAAAATATAATTGTATCCAGAATACACACTGTTTGATGAAAAGTGAGTGTTATATAAATAAAGCAAATAAAACATTAAAAAAAAAAGAGCTTATCCTATAAAACGATAGGAAAACAAATGAAAAAGCTCTGGTGAGAAAGGGAAATCATAATAACAACAATCAACTTAATAAGGCATTAACTCTTAACGTTGTAACGATCACAGTCTCTCCATAAACCAGTCTATCAAATGCCTGTTGCAACGCAATCATTCAAAGGCAAAAACTAAATTTACCACTTTAATTTACAGTTGGGGGAGTCAGCCCTACCGGCATCACCGGTGGGGTGGAGCGTTACAACCCCCTGGATCATGAGTGGCAAATCCTGGGCTCGGTCTCGAGGCAGCGGAGTGGCATCGGGGTGGCTTCCCTTAATGGATCCATCTATGCAGCAGGTGGCCACGATGGACTTGTCTGCCTCAATAGCGTTGAGAGGTAAGTGGTTGCCTTGAAGGAAGACCCATCTAGAGATGGTCGATGGCTGGATTTCTCCACTATATTTCCTAGCCGTTCTCGTCCTTTGTTCCAGTCTATTTTCTAAAACGTTGGGGATTTTATGTTGATCTTTGTTTGTTGGGAGTCGTTCGAGTTGGCAGCATCCAATTAAATAAATAAATCCCTCTCCCAACTTTCCTTGGGTCGTTGGGGAACAGTAGACTATGTTGGGGGTTTGCAAAGGGGAAGAATCCTGGAGAACAAACAGGGAGTGTGTCTAAAATGCAAAACGCTCCTTTTTTCTTCATTTCTGGTTACTTTTTTCCAAGTTGTTTTTCTCTCCTACCTTCTCAGTCTGAAATTGACTGGATTTCAATTCCCTGCTCTCTTTGAAAATAACTGATTTCAACTCCCTGCTCCCTATGAAATTGGCTGAATTTAATTCCCTGCTCCCTTTGAAATTGACTGGATTTCAATTCCCTGCTCTCTTTGAAAAATAACTGAATTTCAACTCCCTGCTCCCTATGAAATTGGCTGAATTTAATTCCCTGCTCCCTTTGAAATTGACTGAATTTCAATTCCCTGCTCTCTTTGAAAATAACTGAATTTCAACTCCCTGCTCCCTATGAAATTGGCTGAATTTAATTCCCTGCTCCTTTGAAATTGACTGAATTTCAATTCCCTGCTCTCTTTGAAAATAACTGAATTTCAACTCCCTGCTCCCTATGAAATTGGCTGAATTTAATTCCCTGCTCCCTTTGAAATTGACTGAATTTCAATTCCCTGCTCCTTTGAAATTGACCGAATTTCAATTCCCTGCTCCCTTTGAAAATGACTGAATTTCACCTCTCTGCTCTCAACTCTCAAAAATTGTACCCACAGGTTTTATGGAGCCTGCGGAGGCGCCACTAGTTGAGTCACTTGCCATTCTCCCAGCTTGCCGAGAAATGTTTTGCATCCGTTCCTTTTCCTTGCGAGATGACTAAGACGTTCTTGGTATTTTTATGATCTCTTTATTTACAAGCCCAGTCAATTACATAATGACGTCTGCTCCTTAAAAAAAGAAGGGAAAAAAAAACCCATAAGCACTTCTAATCCCTCCAGAGCTACGATTGCTTTCCAAACAGGTGCAAAGTACAAGTTTCTCTCACTTTTAAAGTGATCCGTTCTCCATTTTCAAAGCTGGTGGGCTGACAGCTCTCTACCCTGGCTTAAGGAAAAGTGACTTCCCGTCATCCGTGGCCAGCAGTGATTTTTTTCTTCTTTTTCTTAAGGACATGCTGCCATTAAGCCACACAAACAAGGATCTTAGGAGAAAAATGCCTCTGGAATCAACTCACGCCTGAAGTTTAAATATTTTCCATTGGTTAGGCCAGGAATGTCGAACTTTTTCGGCACACGCGTGCACGCATAGAATAGAATAGAATAGAATAGAATAGAATAGAATAGAATAGAATTATAAATAATAGGAATAGGAATAGAAGAGAAGAGAATAAGAAATAATAGAATTATAAATAATAGAAATAGGAATAGAATAGAATAGAATTATAAATAATAGAAATAGGAATAGGAATAGAATAAAATAGAATCAGAAATAATAGAAATAGAAATAATAGAAATAGGAATAGACTAGAATAGAATAAGAAATAATAGAATTATAAATAATAGAAATAGGAATAGAATAGAATAGAAATAGAAATAATATAAATAGGAATGGAATGGAATGGAATGGAATGGAATGGAATGGAATGGAATGGAATAGAATAGAATGGAATGGAATAGAATAGAATAGAATAGAATAGAATAGAATAGAATAGAATAGAATAGACACACATATACATATACATACACTTGCATATACATATATGTACCTACGCATAGTTTTAAGAGCAATAGTAAGAACTAAAACAGACCAAAACAAATTAAAAGATTTCCTTGACTGAAATCTGTGATCCTTCCTTCCTGCATTGTTATCTTCTCATTAAGACCCCTGACAGAGTCCCTTACCCCTTCTGCCCTTCCCGTGCCAGTCTTCCCCTTAGCAAAGGAAGTGTATCTTGACTGACACCCGAACGTGAATTCCTTCTCGTCCTGACATCCCCGGTGCCTGTTTAGCAGCTTGTCATTCCTGTTAGATCTGATGGGATTATTTTGATGGGTCCCATTACTCCTCTCTCGGAGCCCCGCTCAACGTCTCCGGCCCATTCCGTTGTTGGGTGCTGACCTCAACTCATCGGCCAACTGAATATAATCTTGGTTCAAAGAGGTGTCACGTTAATTTTTAGCCCCGTGGCTGCAGAGGGCTGGAATTTTCCCCCCGCCTTGGGAAATAGGAGCACTTTGTGGAAAGATTAACCTTGTTCCCTTGCCAAAAAAAAAAAAAAAAAAATTCAAATTAAGAGTTCGGGTAGTCCTCGACTTATGGCCAGAATGGAGCCCCAAATTTCTGTGGCTAAGGGGAAACATTTCTTAAGCGAGTTTTGGCCCCATTTCTTGCTATAGCTCTTAAGTGAATCTGACTTTCCCCGTTGACTTTGCTTGTCAAAAGGTGATCAAATGCAGAGGTGATATAGATATTCGGGAGAACCGGCAGCTCCGATGATCAGTTGGCCCCGCCCACTCTATCAGGGGTGGGTTCTAATTTTTTTTAATACCGGTTCTGTGGGCGTGGCTTATTTTGTGGGTGTGGCTTGATAGTCATGTGACAATTCTTTAGCAGAGGTGCTGGTCTACCAGGCTTTTAACTGCTTGCAGAGCTGTACCGGTCTACCCATTTGTTTTTGGAGGCACCGGTCTACCAGGCACCGGTCTACTCATTTGTTTTTGCAGGCACCGGTCTACCAGGCACTGGTCTACTCATTTGTTTATGGAGGCACCGGTCTACTCATTTGTTTTTGCAGGCATCGGTCTACCAGATACTGGTCTACTCATTTGTTTTCGGAGGCACCGGTCTACCACCACACTTCCTTTTAACACTGATCAGCTGTAGGGCGGCCCTTTGAAGCAAGAGTTTAAACAGTTTTTTTCCTTCTAGCCGATCAGCTGGGGCTCGGGAGGTAGCGAATAGATTGGGGCGGGGCCAAATAAAAGGTAAGAATAACGCGGTGGCGGGCAGCTCCCGAACAAGGAGAACCGGTTTGGTGATGTCATATCGTCACCGCTACCGGCTCGGCGGAACCGGGCAGAACCGGGCAGAACCCACCACTGCGCTCTATTCTGTCCTTTATTTCCTGCTTTGTAGCTCATCTCAATCACACGGCACAGCTGATTTCTCTCACCCCCCCCTCACAGTTCTACTTACCGTTGGTGACTTGGAAGGTAAGCAGCTGAGCTTCTAAATGCCCCATTTTCAGCGCAAGTGCCTTAGGCACATGCACGCACACACAAAGCGCACACTCACCGAACCGATTGTTAAATTGGCAGCATTCCACCACCGATCACATGTCCTTGGGACCCAGCAACGGTCATAAGTATGAACCAGTTGCCAAGCATCTGAATTTCGATCCCATGATCCAGGGCATGCTAAAAAGGTCATAAGTGTGAAAAACAGTCATAAGTCCCCTTTTTTCAGCACCGTCGTAACTTTGAATGGTCACTAGATGAATGTTGTAAGTCAAGGACTACCTCTAGTTTATGTTTACTCTGCAATCCCATTGTACAAGTCCTTGCTTTGGATCAGCTTCCCCTCCTCTTCCTATGGAGGGGAAAACACTTCACCCCTCCCCTCCCATGCCCAGAACCTCTCCTCCATCTTACTTCTTCCCTGGTAGGTATATGCCCGAAATCAATGAGTGGAAGAGAAACGTCGCACCTCTGAGTGAACCCAAGCAAGATGTCGCTATGGCTGAACTCGGCGGTTACTTATATTGCGCCGGTGGTTTTGATGGGCTGGTTTGCCTCAACACATTGGAAAGGTAAACCCAGTTGGCATGCCGACTTGAGGCCATGCTGGCCGCGCTATAGTAGCTGATATTTATAGTTGATAGCCTTTTACCTCCCGCAAAGATCTCTTCCCCAATTCAAATCAAAATAGATTGATGTAATATCTAGAAGGAGACGGGGCTGGAGTCAATCACTTTGGGAAGCTTATAAGAGAGAGGGAGAGGGAGGAAGAGAAGGAGAAGGAAGATATGGAGAAGGAGGAGGTAGATATGGAGAAGGAGGAGGAGGAGAAGGATAAAGGATGAAGGGAGGAGGGAGGAGGAGGAAAATATGGTGAAAGAGGAGGAAGATATGGAGAAGAAAGATATAGGATAGAGGGAGGAGGAGCAAGAGAAGGCGAAGGAAGATATGGAGAAGCAGGAGGAAGATATGGAGAAGAAGGAGAAGGATATAGGATGGAGGGAGGAGGAGGAGCAAGAGAAGGCGAAAGAAAATATGGAGAAGCAGGAGGAAGTTATGGAGAAGGAGGAGAAGGGTATAGGATGAAGGGAGGAGGAGGAGCAAGAGAAGGCGAAGGAAAATATGGAGAAAGAAGGAAGAGAAGGATAAAAATAAAGAATGAAAAGAGGAGGAGGAGGAGGACGAGGAGGAGGAGGAGGAGGAGGAGGAGGAGGAGGAGGAGGAGGAGGAAAAATACAAACAAGAGAAAACCAATCTGTTATCTCAATCAGTTATCTTAAAAAATGGCAACTCAGCCCAGGTGGTGAGAAACGTAGGAAAAAAAACAATTCAAATCATTCCATCTTAAGGAAGTTTCTTCCAAACAAGAGTAGGTAGGTCCTTCTTCTTGCACTTTCCAAGCTACCTATGATGCAGTGCAGTCCAGAATCACAGGAGAGACGGGGGGGCAAAGACAGACCCTCCCTAGTAGTTCACAGAGGACATCCATAGTTACGGCAGATCGTTGCTTTACTCTGGCAAGATTCGGTCGGTAGGCAAACGACAATAACGGAACTACTCAGAAATAACTCCGGCTGTCATTCTTGGTTCTCGGGGCCTGACAATTCTTGTATTCAGCATGGAAGTCTCTTACTGAAATCTGTGGGTTTCTTGATCTTGAACTGGCTGCATAGGACTTGAGGAGCCCCAGCTGGGAGACGCACGCTCCACGCTTGAATTCCCGTTACGCAGAATCATCTACTTTCTCACCATTGCTGATTCCTTCCAGATATGACCCTGCGCTGGACAGATGGCAGAAGTTGGCGCCGATGAAGTGTCGTCGAAAAGGCCTGGGCTTGGCCGTGCTGGATGGGTATTTATATGCCGTTGGGGGCTCCGATGGATATTCTCCCTTATGCTCAGGTATATACCCTGGCTAAATTAGTTCTTGTACTGGGTTAAAGCCGAATAACAGAATTGGAACAGAGCAGAATAACAAGAGGCGGAAGGGACCTTGGAGGTCATCTAGTCTAACCCCCTGCTCAGGCAGGAAATCAGTAATGGCGAACCTTTTCGGCACCAAGTGCCCAAACCGGAGTGCGCTTGTATTTGCGTCCATGTGTGCGCACTAGAGCACCAGAAATCTGAAGACCAGCTGGCCGGCGCATGCGTGCCTGTTTTTTGGCTGTTTTTCAGGCCATTTTCAGGCTGTTTTTCGAGCTGTTTTTGGCCCGAAAAATGGCCCGAAAAATGCTCAGTAATGGCCCCCAAATGGCCTGGGTTTTCGGCCATTTTTGGGGGCCATTTTCAGGCTGTTTTCCGGTGCTCTGGTGCCCACGAAGACCAGCTGTGCATGCCAGAAACCAGAGAAGCAGCTGACGATGGCGCACGTGCCCACAGAGAGGTGCCACCTCTCATGGCCCTGAACCATTCCAGACAAATTGTTATCCAACCTCTTCTTAAAAACTTCCAGTGTTGGAGCATTCACAACTTCTGGAGGCCAGTTGTTCCACTGGTTAATTGTTCTCACTGTCAGGAAATTTCTCCTTACTTCTAAGTTGCTTCTCTCCTTGGTTAGTTTCCACCCATTGCTTCTTGTCCTGCCCTCAGGTGCTCTGGAGAATAGCTTGACTCCCTCTTCTTTGGGGCAGCCCCTGAGATATTGGAAGACTGCTATCATGTCTCCCCTAGTCCTTCTTTTCATTAAACTAGACATACCCAATTCCAATTTACTTCAGGAAAAATGCAAAATCGGTAGGAAAAATAGATGAAATGACTGTTATTCACACACCCCACCCAAAATGATACAGGAACTCTTAGATAGGTTTAATAGCCTTCCTATTTTAGAGAGTTTCTTTATTTTGATGAAGAACTCAAGGGCCATTCGGAGTGCTTAAATTTATCCAGAGACCCTTCGCTGCTGAGTTGCAAAGTGTCCGATTTTCAATGTAAAATAGCTAAAAAGGGGCTGGTTTTGAGCATTTTGGATGTATGTTAAGCTCAATGCAGCAGTTTTCAATGTGAAATGTTTTGTTTGGCGCTCAAATGTTTGAGGAAAGTTCATTTTGGGTTCATTTCGCAACTTCCGGAGGCAAGTCGTTCCGCTGATTAATTGTTCTCGCTGTCAGGAAATTTCTCCTTCGTTACTTGAGTTCTGTTTCCAAAGATGTCGTACAGAGCATTTTCTGTCTCAGAACGACAGGAAATAATTTCACGGATTTCTTTATTTTATTTTTTTAATTTTTTGGCATTTGTGGCAGGAAAGAGAAGAGTGAAAATAATTGGTGCGTTGGGAACCAATTTGCTCCAAGTGTTTTATAGTCTCTTGTATCTCTGTATCTCTCTCTCTCTCTCTCTCTCTCTCTGTTCCCCTCACGCAAACATTAAAAATAGAAAATGATTATATGTATCTGTGACGTTAATTGAAATCCATGCTTCTGACTGATGGGTTTCTGTAGGCTGGGTGCTTTCCAAGTTCTAATCTAATTGGTTTGCAGTAGCGTGCATGGCTGGGTAATTATTATATTAAATTAATTAATGAAAGAAACTTAGATCAGGCAATTAGTTAACCAAAATACGCCTACCCTTGTATTAACAAATGCCGTACAATGTCAAAATAGATGAACGGTGGCTGATAACAAGAAGGCTGGAAAATGACCTTATAGACAGAACGATTACTAGATAATTTGACCTTAATATGTTTCAAAAGCAATCTCCCTTCCCTCTTCATCAGAAAAGAATCAAATAACTCCAGTGTCAGACTTCGATGCTATCTCAAAATAAATGAATTTCCAAACTGCCAATCTTTAAGGAAATCTTTTCTTTAATTGAGCACAGCCACCGGATCATGACTCGATGCGGACAAGACTGACCTTTTGCCCCCCCCCAATCCCTCCCTTTCCGATCCCCAAATCTCTGCTTCTCATTGGCTATTTTCCAAGTCATTCTTCAGACTTCTTGTCATTTCCCAGGAATGTCTCCCCCCCTTCATTTCCACGACAACCCGACTTCAAAGGGATTTGGCAGGCAAAAGTTCAGAGCTTATCTCTCTCTCCCCTCTGCTCTCTTATGCCAGCGTCGAAACGCTGACATCCAGTTATATAGAAGTCCAGTGCGGCCTCAGAGCTATTTTAGCCAGCTGCAAGAGTACAAAAGATGATAATTGCGTTCAAGTGGAGAATTGATTCCTCAATTTGATACCCAAAAGGGCATCAATTCGAAATGGGAAATTATTGATCCCAGAGACTCGAGGCATAGCCAAGAGGAACATATGAATCAATATATAACAAACAACAGTTGATCTGGTTTTATTAATTACGTTTTTGATTTCAACCCGCAATTATGGAAATCGTAGAACAGGACCCATAAACCGTTGAGTTAATTCTCTTCCTTCTGAGCTTCATTTCTGACATTCAATACCACTTTAGTGTTAATAAACACTACGCTAACCACATGTCCATTGTTGGAACACTGCATCCAGTTTTGATCACCACGATATAAAACTATTCTGTTAATAGGAGTCTATACCACCTAATGGTAAAGGTAAAGGATCCCTTCACACATCTGTGCTAGTCGTTCCCGACTCTAGGGGGTGGTGCTCATCTCCGTTTCAAAGCCGAAGAGCCAGCGCTGTCCGAAGATGTCTCCGTGGTCATGTGGCCGGCATGACTCAACACCAAAGGCGCACAGAACACTCTTACCTTCCCACCAAAGGGGGTCCCTATTTTCCTACTTGCATTTTTTACGTGCTTTTGAACTGCTAGGTTGGCAGAAGGAACAAGGAACGGGAGCTCACCCTGTTACGCAGCACTAACATTCGAACCGCTGTACTGCCGACCTTTCGATCGACAAGCACAGCGTCTTAGCCACTGAGCCACTGCGTCCCTGGTCCCTATACCGCCTATTTCCTGTTTAAAAGCAAGCTAGTCCTTTCAGGTTATAACTATTAATTTAAACTATTAATTTTCAGAACACAAACTGTCCCTTTCAGCTTCGGAAACAATTAATTCCTCATCCCCCCCTTGCTAAAGTGACAACTGGCAGCACAAAGGTCAAAAACCACAGCTCTTTTTTTAAAAAAAATTTGATTCATATGCCGCCCTTCTCCGGAGACTCAGGGCGGCTTACAATGCGCTAAGCAATAGCCTTCATCCTTTTGTATATTTTATACAAAGTCAGCTTATTGCCCCCACAAACTGGGTCCTCAATTTAACCTACCTTAGAAAGGATGGAAGGCTGAGTCAGCCTTGAGCCTGGTAAGATTCGAACCTGCAGTAATTGCAGGCAGCTGTGTTAATAACAGGGTGCTTTAGACCACTGTACTACCAAGGCCCTTTAGCTCTTCACAACCCTCTTCTATTTCAGTCGAGCGCTACGATCCCAGAGAAGACCGCTGGGCTCCCTGCCCTCCGCTCCGCAGCTGTCGTGAAAACCTGGGTTGCGTCGCGTTGCAAGGCAAGATCTACGCCGTCGGTGGGCAGGATGAATTGACCGAACTCTGCACCGCGGAGCGCTTTGATCCCTTCCTCAATCGATGGACGCCTGTTAGGCCCATGAGGTCCAAAAGGAGCAAGGTAAGGAGAGCCAGGTCTAGAAACAGACAGAAAATGGAACGACCTAACACAAAGAGAAGTCTACGATTTTTAACTGTTGCTATTATCATCTTCTTCTTCTTCTTCTTCTTTTAACAACCCCATAATCCCTTGCAGGGTGGAGTCTGGGCAACTGAATGGAGCTAGCAGAGTGTTTTTTAATGGCCGGATGCCCTTCCTGTCGCCAATGCGGAGTTTTGTTCAGCAGATAAATTCTCATTGTGCCCAGAGAGAGAGAGAGAGAAATATCTGCCCCTACCCAGGATCGAACTCACAACCTCCTGATTGCGAGGCGAGAGCTCCACCTCTAGGCCACTGCACCACTCCCAACTGTTGCTATTATCCCTTTTATCAAATTTTATTTGCTGTTCATCTCGCAGTTCAAAGCGGCTCGGAGCAGTTATAGATCATTTCCATGTTTTGGGAACTTTTCTCTTTATCGGCTGAGCCCACGAGCAAATTTTCACGTGGGGAGTTGCATGCGCATGCACGGGGGAGCATGGGGGGGTCATGCGTGCATGTGCAGAGGGGGCGCATTGCATTATGGGGGCTGGCATGAAAAGGTTAAGCCATCACTGCCATATACCGTACCCGATTAAGGGCTTGAGAAGGAAGCATTGAAGCCCCTTTCCAAATTGTTGATTTTCCAGGTAAGCCTTGCGGCTATCAGTGGGTATCTCCTGGCCATCGGCGGCTACGACGGCATCGTTCACGTTTCGACGGTGGAAGCCTTTGACCTGGATCTCAACGCATGGAGGTAGTCTTGGTATCCCTTTGCAGAGATGCTCCGCCGGGATTCTTGTTGTTATTATTGTTGTTTTTTCCTGAATGGCACCTTCTCCTTCGGTAATTTTTGCTCTTGTCGCTCGTCGTCCAGAGTTTGCAGGTTAGAAAAACTGGGAAATAAATCCATTAAAAGGGGAGAAAGAGAATCTCTTGCACAGGTGGTCCTCGACTTACAACTGCAATCGGGACCAACATTTCCTTTACTCCCCCCCTCCTCCTGTATTCCCTTCTAACACTGATGATGTTCTCTAGTTGCATAATGAAATGTTTGCAATTAGAAAACAACCACATTCCAAGAGAACCAAGGACCCCCACAGTCCTCCTCTTCTCCCCCCTTTCTTTTAGCACTGATGATGTTCCCTAGTTGGGTAATGAAATGTTTTCAAGAAAACAACCAGACAGCACCAAGGAACTACACAGTCCTCCTCCTCTTCCTCTTCCTCCCCCTCCTCCCCCCTCCTCCTCTACTCCAGTCTAGCACTGATGATGTTCCCTAGTTGGGTAATGAAATGTCTGCAATTAGAAAACAGCCAAGCTCTGAGAGCACCAAGGATCCCACAGCCTTTCTTTTTCTCCTCCACTTCACAAACCTCACTCCCTTCTAACACTGATGATGTTCCCTAGTTGGGTAACGAGACGTCTGCAAGAAAACCACCAAGCTCAGAGAGCACCAAACACCCCCACAATTAATCCCCGGGCTACAAATAGACTCTTCTTTGGGTATCTATGTGAGTTTTAGATGTCCATCTTTGATGTACGTCCCACTGTTGCATGAAACAACACACAACAAGCTTCTGGAGGTTAACGCTGCCCCTTGTTCCTTCCGTTGCAGACGTTTTGGCAACATGAAGAGCCGTCACCCGGGTGGAGGCGTCACCGTGGTCCAAATGGCCACGGAAGATGTGGAATCCTTTGAGTCCTCTTGGAGCAGATAACTAGAAGAAGAACAAGAATTAGTTCTAGGTTCAGATTAGAGGTAGGGTGAGTTCTTTAGCTAGATCTAGCAGCGTCAGGACGAAGGAGCTGTAAATCCATACCCGAAACAAGATTATTTATTGTATTCGTTCACTTTCTATAGCCATCCCTCTCAGGGTGATGAACAATTAAAACAACCGTTAAAACACATAAATGAAAAAATGGAAGTTTGGAGATACTATCGTTTTCTCCACTATTTCTTTTCAGGGTCGGGATCTCCTTGGATCCTGGGGTCCTAATTTTTTCACCAGTGCCTTTCCAGTTGCATCACTGAAACTCAAAAATGCTAAATGATGGAATGGAATTAACAGAAGCAGAATACGTCTGTTGAGTCCTGATATGTTCAAGCACCATCCTATTTGGGTTAAGATACACCTATGCACATCTCATGATTGAGCCGTGGTGGCGCAGTGGTTAGAGTGCGGCATTGCAGGTTAACTCTGCCGACTTCCAGCAGTTCGATCCTGACCGGCTCAAGGTTGACTCAGCCTTCCATCCTTCCGAGGTGGGTAAAATGAGGACCCAGATTGTTGGGGGAAAGATGCTGATTCTGTAAACGACTTAGCTATGGCTGTAAAGCACTGTGAAGCAGTATTTAAGTTTAAGTGCTAATATCTATCTATCTATCTATCTATCATCTATATATTATCTATTTGCCATGATGGTGCAGTGGTTAGGATGCAGTATTGCAAAATAACTCTGCTGATTTCCATGAGTTCGATCCTGACCGGCTCAAGGTTGACTCAGCCTTCCATCCAGGCAATATATGTGTTCTGTGACTTTAACATGAATATATATTGTGTGACTTTAAAGTTTTACTGCTGTTTCGTTGTAATGCTGAGTCATGCTGTAATTAGATAATCACTAGTTGTAAACGTATTTAAGAAAGGTACTGTAACGTATTCAGTTGATGATATGCTACTATTGTGTGTGGAGTTGCTATCATTGTGCTATCATTGGTGGATGGATCTGCTACCATCGGGGTTTGTTACCACAGTGAACTTGTTATTCTAACCAACTACTGTTTGTATGGTAAGAAGATTTTTGTATCACTGGACTGATTTAACTGGCAAAGACTTGGATTGATTTAAAGACTATGAGATTGTTTTTCTACTATAAAGTAAGCTTTTGATAAACCAGTTTGCACATCTCTTATTCATCGCTCTCAGCAACGTTTCTCTGTGCTCTACACTCTGCTGGTTGGTAACACAACAATATCCTTAACACTTACTATCTCTATCTATCTATCTATCTATCTATCTATCTATCTATCATCTATCTATCTATCTATCTGTCTGTCTGTCTGTCTGTCTGTCTGTCTGTCTATCTATCTATCTATCTATCTATTTATCTATCTATCTGCCATGGTGGTGCAATGCTTAGAATGCAGTATTGCAGAATAATTCTGCCGACTGCCAGCAGTTCGATCTTCCCGGGCTCAAGGTTGACTTAACTTCCATCCTTCTGAGGTCGGTAAAATAAGGATCCAGATTGTTGGGGGCAATAGGCTGACTCTGTAAACTGCTTAGAGAGGGCTGTAAAAGCACTATGAAGCAATATATAAGTCTAAATGCTGTCACTATTCTAAAAAGGGCTAAACATTCTATTCTTATCTTCGTGTTTGTTTCTTTGTTTTAACCACATTGCCTGCAATCCTGGTTTGTTGACTAAAAACGCGTCTTCACCCTAAGAGTTTGACTGCAAGTACATAAATTGTCTTGCTTCAAAAAAACATTCTCCTCTAAATTCCTGTCGGCTAGTAGTATTTTAAAAATCGGCATTCTCCAATTCTCAATGCAATGGCCCAGGACCTCAGCTTAATAACTTTGGGTGCTCCGGATCTAAAATAAAACAATCAAATGTTTCCTAGCAGTCAAAAAGATTTACACCACCACAGACAGCAAAGTGTACATGACTTTCCACATTTTGCTGAATATCCTAATAAACTTTGCTCCGTGATTTGATTCTTCAAGAAACGTTATCTCCAAGGGAATGCTAATCAAGGAGAGAAGCAACCTAGAACTAAGGAGAAATTTCCTGACAGTGAGAACAATTAACCAGTGGAACAACTTGCCTCCAGAAGCTGTAAATGCTCCAACACTGGAAGTTTTTAAGATGATGTTGGATAACCATTTGTCTGAAGTGGTGTAGGGTTTTCCTGCCTAAGCAGGAGGTTGGACTAGAAGACCTCCAAGGTCCCTTCCAACTCTTGTTATTCTGTTTTGTTCAAGTGACAGCTTTCATGGCAAAGAATGGCCCCAGAGTGGGGTGGCAATGGAGATTTTGCAGTATCCTTCCCCTGGAGTGGAGTGGGAATGTGGATTTTGCAGTATCCTTCCCCCAGGAGTGGCGAGGGAATGGAGATTTTGCAGTATCCTTCCCATGGAGTGGGAAGGGAATAGAGATTTTGCAGTATCCTTCCCCCAGGAGTGGGGTGGAAATGAGGATTTTGCAATATCCTTCTCCTGGAGTGGGGTGGAAATGGGGATTTTGCAGTATCCTTCCCCTGCCACGCCCACCAAGCCACGCCCACAGAACCTGTAGTAAAAAAAAAATTTCACCCTTGACTGAGAGCATCAAATCCAACACGAAGTTGAACATCCAACAATCAAAAGAAGCTGTGCTTGACAAGGTAGCATGGAGAGCCCTTGCCCATAAAATCAGCAAAAATCAGGCGTGACTAAATGGTTAAAAACAGCAACCAATTATGGCTAAGTGCCACCGGTGAATTTCTCTTTCACACAACCGTGTGGGCCGTTTGTGGTCTTGCGCTGTTGCAAACAGATGGGGAAATTGTTTGACTGCAGGAAGGCCGAAGTTGTTGGAGAGGGGAGGAAAAAATGAGCTTTCAAATGAGCAACGTATACAATTCAGAATATGAATCATTAAAGCAGGCATGCTATTCCACCAAGCCATTAGACAGCAGCTTCTGCTGCCAATTCATTAATGAATCAGGTGATCCCAGCATCAGATGGAATTCTCCTGAGTGGGCCAACGGTATTTTGCTCTTCTCCGTACACTTTAAAACTAGGAGCGTGCAGAAGAAAAGAATTAAAAATTGTCCTGGTCTTAGTCCACATTACGACGGGAATCATCCCAGCGGTTCCATTTAATGGAACCAAGAATTGCTTATAGTGCTTATCATTTTTGAATAGAATCGAATAGACACACATATACATCTACATACACTTGCATATACATATATGTACCTACACATAGTTTTAAGAGCAATAGTAAGAACTAACACAGACCAAAACAAATTAAAATATTTCCTTGACTGAAATCTGTGATCCTTCCTTCCTGCATTGTTATCTTCTCATTAGGACCCCTGAGAGAGTCCCTTACCCCTTCTGCCCTTCCCGTGCCAGTCTTCCCCTTAGCAAAGGAAGTGTATCTTGACTGACACCCAAATGTGAATTCCTTCTCGTCCTCACATCCCTGGTGCCTGTTTAGCACTTTGTCATTCCTGTTAGATCTGATGGCATTATTTTGATGGGTCCCATTACTCCTCTCTCGGAGCCCCACTTAACGTCTCCGGCCCATTCCATTGTTGGGTGCTGAACGCAACTCATCGGCCAACTGAATATAATCTTGGTTCAAAGAGGTGTCAGGTTAATTTTTAGCCCTGTGCCTGCAGAGGGCTGGAATTTCCCCCCCGCCTTGGGAAATAGGAGCACTATTAAATAGGAGGCTCAATATTTAAAAACGTTTTCTTCCCCAGGCACCAAAAAGGGTTTGATTTTTAAAAAGTAGAAGCAACACCATTTTTAGACACGGAATTTCATCCCAAAACTCATCCTGGTGTCTGTTTTTGCATTTGGATTAAAAAAACAAATTTGGCTTTAAAAAATTTTTGGTTCCTGGGCAGCATTTTTCCTGACAGCGGAGTAAAGTCTTTTCTTCTCCTGGCACCAAAAAGGCTTGATTTTTAAAAAGTTGAAGCAACACCATTTTTAGACATGGAATTTCATCCTGAAACTCATCCTGGTGTCCGTTTTTGCATTTGGTTTCAAAAAAAAAAAATTGGCTTCAAAAAACATTTTGGTTCCTGGACAGCATTTTTCCTGACCGAGGAGTAAAGCCTTTTCTTCTCCTGGCACCAAAAAGGCTTGATTTTTAAAAAGTTGAAGCAACACCATTTTTAGACATGGAATTTCATCAGGAAACTCATCCTGGTGTCCGTTTTTGCATTTGGTTTCAAAAAAAAAATTTGCCTTCAAAAAACATTTTGGTTCCTGGGCAGGATATTTCCTGACCGTGGAGTAAAGCCTTTTCTTCTCCTGGCACCAAAAAGGCTCGATTTTTAAAAAGTGGAAGCAACACCATTTTTAGACATGGAATTTCATCCTGAAACTTATCCCGGTGTCCGTTTTTGCATTTGGTTTCAAAAAAAAAATTCTCTTAAAAAACATTTTTTGTTCCTGGGCAGCATTTTTCCTGACCGTGGAGTAAAGCCTTTTCTTCTCCTGGCACCAAAAAGGCTTGATTTTTAAAAAGTTGAAGCAACACCATTTTTAGACATGGAATTTCATCAGGAAACTCATCCTGGTGTCCGTTTTTGCATTTGGTTTCAAAGAAAAATTTTGGCTTCAAAAAACATTTTGGTTCCTGGGCAGGATTTTTCCTGACCGTGGAGTAAAGCCTTTCCTTCCCCTGCCACCAAAAAGGCTTGATTTTTAAAAAGTTGAAGCAACACCATTTTTAGACATGGAATTTCATCAGGAAACTTATCCTGGTGTCCGTTTTTGCATTTGGTTTCAAAAAAAAAATTTGGCTTCAAAAAACATTTTGTTTCCTGGACAGCATTTTTCCTGACCGTGGAGTAAAGCCTTTTCTTCTCCTGGCACCAAAAAGGCTTGATTTTTAAAAAGTTGAAGCAACACCATTTTTAGACATGGAATTTCATCAGGAAACTCATCCTGGTGTCCGTTTTTGCATTTGGTTTCAAAAAAAAAATTTGGCTTCAAAAAACATTTTGGTTCCTGGGCAGGATTTTTCCTGACCGTGGAGTAAAGCCTTTTCTTCTCCTGGCACCAAAAAGGCTTGATTTTTAAAAAGTTGAAGCAACACCATTTTTAGACATGGAATTTCATCAGGAAACTCATCCTGGTGTCCGTTTTTGCATTTGGTTTCAAAAAAAAAATTTGGCTTCAAAAAACATTTTGGTTCCTGGGCAGGATTTTTCCTGACCGTGGAGTAAAGCCTTTCCTTCTCCTGGCACCAAAAAGGCTTGATTTTTAAAAAGTTGAAGCAACACCATTTTTAGACATGGAATTTCATCAGGAAACTCATCCTGGTGTCCGTTTTTGCATTTGGTTTCAAAAAAAAAAATTTGGCTTCAAAAAACATTTTGGTTCCTGGGCAGGATTTTTCCTGACCGTGGAGTAAAGCCTTTCCTTCCCCTGGCACCAAAAAGGCTTGATTTTTAAAAAGTTGAAGCAACACCATTTTTAGACATGGAATTTCATCCTGAAACTCATCCTGGTGTCCGTTTTTGCATTTGGTTTCAAAAAAAAAATTTGGCTTCAAAAAACATTTTGGTCCCTGGGCAGGATTTTTCCTGACCGTGGAGTAAAGCCTTTCCTTCTCCTGGCACCAAAAAGGCTTGATTTTTAAAAAGTTGAAGCAACACCATTTTTAGACATGGAATTTCATCAGGAAACTCATCCTGGTGTCCGTTTTTGCATTTGGTTTCAAAAAAAAAAATTTGGCTTCAAAAAACATTTTGGTTCCTGGGCAGGATTTTTCCTGACCGTGGAGTAAAGCCTTTCCTTCTCCTGGCACCAAAAAGGCTTGATTTTTAAAAAGTTGAAGCAACACCATTTTTAGACATGGAATTTCATCAGGAAACTCATCCTGGTGTCCGTTTTTGCATTTGGTTTCAAAAAAAAAAATTTGGCTTCAAAAAACATTTTGGTTCCTGGGCAGGATTTTTCCTGACCGTGGAGTAAAGCCTTTCCTTCCCCTGGCAACAAAAAGGCTTGATTTTTAAAAAGTTGAAGCAACACCATTTTTAGACATGGAATTTCATCAGGAAACTTATCCTGGTGTCCGTTTTTGCATTTGGTTTCAAAGAAAAATTTTGGCTTCAAAAAACATTTTGGTTCCTGGGCAGGATTTTTCCTGACCGTGGAGTAAA